GGGGGGGGGTCCACAAGCAGTAGCAAGGCGGCGCCAAGCGCCTGGGTGACTGTAGGTGGACAGCTGGTCCGGGGGCTCTCTGCCGCCCTGAGGCCCAGGGCGCTTCAGGATGGTGCGCAGCCCGTTCTGAGCTACGGTGACGCCACCAAAGGTCCAGGCCTGGTCGTATACACTTCTAACAGTGCCCAATACATCACAAAACCTCAAGTGCAACGAAAATATAACAAAATTTGCGAAAAAGGGCGATTTATAACACCTAACACAATTTTAGGCGTTTTTTATGAATTTCAAAGCCCGTGTACCACCCCTAAATCGTATCCGATCGGGCCCAAATTTTTTGTGGTATCTTACATTATGAACGGTCACGCAATGGCAAATTACTTACTCGACTTTTCAACACTTCGTGTTTTGTGGAATAGCCTAACGGTACGGTCGGGTCCACGGCCGATGGTCAACACGCAACTAGGCACGGTCGCAGGTGGCGGCCTTCAGTGCAGCGGGGCCAGAAAGCAGGGCTTTAATTTGAAATGTTAGCGCGCTAACGTTAAAGCGAAAACGAACTAAATTGACTTAACGCGTTATCGTTAACACGTTTTGACACACGTAACGCGCGAACGATAACGTTAACATTAACTCTTAACGCCAATAACGTTAATCTGACTATCGTAGCTGAGGGAGGTGCCGAGTGCGGGTCGGAGGTGCAGTAAGCAACAATTCTTGCGTAAGGCGGCAAAATTTAATTGTACCACACGGACAGATCCGTTGAAAATGACTTATTTGCATGCCCTCCCGCAGAAAAGTGTTAAGGTTAACGGCGTTAAGCCGACAACCTCAAAAGTAACGTAGCGCGATAACGTTAATGCTCCGGCGTGATTGTAACGCGCTGACGTAACTCGTTAATTTACGTGAACGGCGTTAAATAACGGCGTTATTCGTGAAATTAGCGTAAACAGCCCTGCCTTCACGTCAAACTTTCATCGCAAAGGCGCGTGTGATTCCGGAGGTCGCAAAAACTACGGGCAGCAACCATTACACTCTAAATGTCAAGGGACAATTTTGTCCGTAGATTTGCAACGATTTCGTGCACATCTAGAAACTTCACACAATTTGTCTAGTTTTAGGAACAAAATTGCATCCTTTCTGGATGTGCACGAAATCGTTGCAAATCTACGGACAAAATTGTCCCTTTACATTTAGAGTGTATCCTTAGAATTGACTATATTTTCAATTTAAATGCGTTCTGGCATGATCGAACATCTGCCCCTTCAAAATGAAACGGCCTACCCTGGGTGCCACCTGATGCTATCCACTTTTTTGCCGTCCTTTGCTTGGCCACTCAATGGCTGCGCTGACTCCCTAATCTCCCCCAGCTACGCTTTGCGAATTCCGCCTGCCTCGCAGGCCGTGAGATGCTCGAAGCAACGAACGGGTGTGAGTGCAAGATACGATGTAGTGGCTTACTAAATCGTGGTGCAAGGCATGGCATGAACGAGCACGATTCGTCTGCGTCTACCTCGTGCGCACACCTCTGCTGCCAAGGTCATTACAATTTTCAGCTTCTATTCTTACTTACAGCATATATGGGCATATTTCCACCTTCGGAACACTGGCGCGGGGGAATATCCCTCCCAAACAACGTTAAATGGTCCATGGCCCACTCCCGAGATGCGCAGTCACAACGAAGTGCCCTGCGTGACAGCCATGACGGCCTCGTAAATATAGCGTGCAATCTGATTCTGGAAGTTTCACACGCCATAGAGGTGTCGCTATGTAATACCATAAAAGAGACAGAAAACATAACAAGGCAACTCGCACGCTTGCCTACTAAAACTACAGGGCGTGTCAGGCAAATGTTACTGTTGTCGACAAGGGACGATCTAATATCTAAGCTCAGTAGAAAAGCGCTGTGGATTGTAGTAAAATTCATCAACTATTATATTAATCCCTACACTGTAATTCTAGGTGTCATTCTTTCAAACATTTTCGTGAGATAAAACAGCCTGTGTAAATCTCATGGTGTATCACTCCTGGGTTAGGGTAGTCCAAAATAAGCTTGTTGTTGAAATGTTGGGGGGCATGTTGATCATAGGGTGTCATTTTGTGAGGAAAAAATTAAAAAAAATGTCTGCCCAAAATCGGAT